CCCCCCCCCTTCATAATTTCTCCCGTTATTTTTTCATTTTTCTCAAGACTTTTTTTTTCCTCCCTCGTACCTTCGCACGGCAATTGGATGTTTCGAGGGTGCCTCTAATTTTTCGCTCCTAATTATCTCGTCGGGATAAAAACAACAAGGAGGAACGTAGACCGCGAAATTCGCGGTTTTTTTTTTTATTTTTTTTTTTTTCTTAAAAACTCGTCTCTTTGTTCTACATTGACAGTGTATCAAGGTCGAGTGTTCAGAATGACCTTTTCTTTTTAATCCGTGACGCAGGATACGACCTTAGCCATTTGTTATCGGTCTTAACAATTTTCATTTTTTTTTTCAAAATAATTTATTTTAATTATTCCACGGGAAATCCCCCCTCTCCTATGTCTAATAAATTTTTCTTTTAACCCAATCGACCCAGTATCACGTATTTCGAGTGCAACGATTGATCCTAATAAATCATTCTGACACTTTGATATTTCAGGCTTAATAAATATACAACTTTGTAGCGAGATGGCGTAAGAAAAAGAGTCGGTAATTACTGTAAGCTCGCTGTCATTATTCAATAAGATTCCAAGGTCCGCAGACTCGACTGAAATAATATGCTATTGTGACCAGTTGTTATATATATATATATATATATATAATCCTCAAGTTGTTGTCCCTGTGATTCACCCACGCTCTACTACCCATTTAGGGTCTGATTCACTTTACGACACTGTACCTATATACCTCGTACAGACTATAGCGTTCGCCATATACATTGCATCGTGACCCAGCACACGTTATAAACATATATACACTTAAATATTGCATAAGACACAGAGTGCATTATATAATTTAAAAATTAAGCCGACCCGTTGGTTTTCTATTATAAAAAAATTTTGAAAAAAAAATAATTTAATCTTGATTGCGTGTAACAGTTTTGCGAGTTTATCATTATATTTGAAAATTTTTCAAATAATTTTTCTCGGCATCCAGAAATCCCGACCTACCTGCCTACCTGTCTGCTTAACCCCGGTTACCGTTATTCACGTGGGTAATTCATGTAATTGCCCAGGTTATTTATACGCGATTGCGGATAATGACGTCTGGAATTTCGTCACGGTAAAAAGAAATTTTACTCGAAACCTTTAAAAGCTTACTTAAGTTACGCGAATCTTGTTTCACGTGTTTCTTTATCAATACGTTGTTGAGTCTTAAAGCGAATGAGTGAAAATACTAAATAATGCGCGTGTAAAAATTGGTCGCTTATACGAAGAAGCAATTGCCAAACGATTAACCTCTCATAACTTGAACATGGCATTGACTGTACCACGTGTTAATGACATTTCGTAAAAACATGGCTGACTGTAGATATATAGTATATATATATATACAGTTAACAAGACTAGTAGCCTTTCACTAATTTCCACCAATGGCGAACGTTAACATTGAAATTTTCTAGGAAATTCTTTGAAATATATTATTTTAGCTCTGGCCATCCAATTTACCTAACCTGACCTAGCTTAGTAATACTAAGCATATACAGTCGACTACCTGAACCATACCCATCCGTATTACACTCGTGGCGAATGATTTTGAATTTTCAATAATTCGAAATTTTAGTCACTGACCGTCAGTTCCCGATGACGATTGCCATTAACGCGCGTCGTGTAAGATCAGTGTTGATTTTGAAAATTGTAATTTTATTTTTGTGAATTTTTTTAACAGTGTACCTATTGTTTATCGTATAATTGGATATTGGGTCTGAAGAGCGTCGCGACGCTTTGTGAATATATCACGCGAGTAGAGTGGATCCTGTATATGGAGTGCTATGTCGCAGATTTTAAATTGCTTTAAATTCTTCGGCGATAATCAATTGAATACTGGTATAACAAAATATTTGGACATATTTTTATCGAGTGACAAGAGCGAATCGATCGTCGGCCGTGATTAGTTTTTGATAACCAATGTGTCTTGAATACCTTAGATTTCATTAGGGTTTTTGAAAATTTTTCGATAATCATAATAAAGTCGTGTTATCGTTAAGGCTCAATGAAGAATACTGAAACAGCGAAGCGATTGTGACAGCTGTCAGATTAGCGTGTCACGTGGTCGTAATACATTGTACGTCGATTGTTTACTTGAAATTCGTTTACAATAAAGCGACTAAGTCATTTTTATAGATTTAATTTAATTAATCAGTAAATTTTGTCGTCGCGCTGTCAGCCCGATAGCAATAGACATTGGTCGTAGAACATGGAAGACCTTGATAGCGTAACGTCACCATGTCGAAAAACATGTTTTTGTTTCTGTCAACAAATTGTTTTCAATTCGACGATCGCGCCTGTGTGAGCGACAAAATTCAAAAGTCGCGCCATAACCTCGACGACTCGCTAAGGTTTCAATTCCTTCGTTTGTCATGTACGAATATCCAAAATTTGCGGTGGGAAAAAATTTTTGGATCGATAGGAAAAAATTGATGATTAAAAAAAATATTTGATTTCAGGGGTGCTGGAGATGGCAGCCACTGAGAGTACCATCAGATTCAGCGGTCACACCCTGGACAAGGCTACCAAGGCCAAGGTAAGCACATCAGTCGATAAGAATGAATTTGATAAAAGTGGTAAGAAAGGTGAAATTGAATCAGATTCTCAAATAATTTCTAATGGAAATCTATTTCTTTTTGATTTATCTAACGAATAGTCTGTTCCATTTCAGGTTACTCTGGAGAACTACTACAGCAACCTCATAGCCCAACACATAGAGCGGAAGCAGAGACTCGCAAAGCTCGAAGAGTCCCTCAAGGATGAGGGTCTGTCGGAGCAGCAGAAACAAGAGAAGAGACTTCAGCATGCACAGAAGGAGACGGAATTTCTGCGGCTGAAACGCTCACGACTTGGCGTCGAGGATTTCGAACCGCTTAAGGTCATAGGTCGAGGTGCGTTCGGCGAGGTCAGGCTAGTCCAGAAGAAAGACACTGGGCACGTTTACGCCATGAAGATATTGAGGAAGGCAGACATGCTGGAAAAGGAGCAGGTCGCTCACGTAAGGGCTGAGAGGGACGTCCTGGTGGAAGCTGATCATCAGTGGGTAGTGAAGATGTACTACAGCTTCCAGGATCCCATTAATCTGTATCTCATAATGGAGTTCTTACCTGGAGGTAAATATAAAAGAAATGAAGCATACATCGTACTATTGATTTTTTATCATTTTCAATGATTTTCTTATCGTCATTAATATTTTAGGTGACATGATGACCCTGCTGATGAAGAAGGATACGCTTTCTGAGGAATGCACGCAGTTTTATATTTCCGAGACGGCGTTAGCCATCGACTCCATACATAAGCTAGGTTTTATTCATAGGTAAGTGTTCTTTGAAAAAAATTTCAATCAATTCTTTCACCCGATATGGATAATTATCAAAAATCAAGAGGTCTGTCATTTTATAAAATTGCATTTCTTCTCCACAGGGATATCAAGCCAGACAACCTGTTGCTGGATGCACGGGGCCACATAAAGCTTTCAGATTTTGGACTGTGCACGGGTCTAAAAAAATCCCATAGGACAGATTTCTATAGAGATCTAAGTCAGGCAAAACCATCCGATTTCAGTAAGTAATGAACCATAGTATATTAATACATCCAATCACAGTATCAGGATTAATTTATTTAATTCATCTTTCAGTGACGTCCTGCGGATGCGGAAGTGGCGGTCCAATGGATAGTAAGAGACGAGCTGAGAGCTGGAAAAGAAACAGAAGAGCACTTGCTTACAGTACAGTTGGCACTCCTGATTACATAGCTCCCGAAGTGTTCCTACAGACTGGATACGGACCAGCCTGTGATTGCTGGTCTCTGGGTGTCATAATGTACGAGATGCTCATAGGTAAAGATCATAGCTATTTAAACGTTCACGGACGACCGTTCAAAATGACGCATGATGATCAAACGTCAACCTTGTCTTCGTTTATTCTACAGGTTATCCTCCGTTCTGTAGCGAGAATCCACAGGAGACTTACAGAAAGGTCATGAACTGGCGTGAGACACTTGTATTCCCACCGGAAGTACCTATAAGCGAGGAAGCCAAGGACACCATAATTAGGTTCTGTTGCGAAGCCGACAGACGATTAGGTTGGTTACTTATTAAAATATAAGAACAAAGTTCCTCCAGGCTTTGTCTTACCTCTAAAACAAATACAATGATCGAGCTGATGAAAAGGAAGAAAATTGAAAACATTATAATCGCAGGTTCGCAGAGAGGAATAGAGGAGCTGAAACTAGCCCCGTTCTTCAGGGGTGTCGATTGGGAACACATCAGGGAACGACCTGCGGCGATACCGGTCGAGGTGCGCTCTATCGACGACACGTCGAACTTCGACGAGTTCCCGGATGTCAAACTCGAGATACGTAAGTAAAGATAATCCATGATTAATAAATAAAATCGAGCGGGATAATTCAAGTACGCTAGTTGTCTCGTAACAGCCTGCCGTTTCGTCTGTGCAGCCTCGGCGCCGTTGCCCCAGGATGGCGAGGTTATATACAAGGATTGGGTGTTCATAAACTACACGTTCAAACGCTTCGAGGGTCTTACGCAACGCGGCACGCCCACCAAGAAATAGCAAGTACCTTCGTCGTCGATCTGCACTTTGGCAAACGGCAGACAATGCAGCGATCCGATTGGCATTCCGGTCCTGGTACATCATCCACATCCGACATCAGCGTCGTCATTCGTTACGTCAGCGACGACGTCGTCATCGTCGCCGCGTAACGACGACTGAGCTGTGTCGTGAATTCGTTTCTTTTAAAATGAATTTCTCGGCTTTACTTTCTTTCCAAAGGGAAGACGAGGAAGAAGAAGAATAAGAAGAAAAACATGTCTTTCTCTGTACATATATGTAAATGCGGAACCTTTAGGTACGCGAATGTGCGCATGCGCGAGTCGTCATTTATCATCCCGTGAACGAAACGGTGGAATCTAATGTCAACGTTATAGAAAGACAAAAGCTGCCGATGAAGTTAGAGCTTTGTGGATAGAGGGCGAAGAAGATTGAAAATTGAGGATGAACATCTTTTTTGAACGCGATTGCGCTGCGTAAAAGTTCGGAGTGACGCAAAAGTGCACAATAAATAAAATGTGTAAATGGATTTGATCTTACGCTAAGAGATGGCGCTGCGCTCGCGTGACAATGAATCATGAAGTTTTCTTTTTTTTTTTCGTTTATCTCTCTGTTCTCGTTATCAAAAGGCGCAGCGCTATTGTCCAATATTCGCTATTTGTTCACGAGCCGATGACTTTCATTTGGTTCTTTTAATTCTTTTCGTTTTTCATTCTTTCTTCCGCGTTTCTCGGAGACGCTTGAATGAAATTCGGCGCGCATAGCATAATAAGCTCTCTGTGGTAAGATATAATGAAATACTTGGAGTCGGATTTAATGGAGGATTCTTTGTAATTCATTATTATATACGGAAAGACATACTTTGAAGTTCGTAGCACTGTAAATCGTATATCTCTAAGAGAATTCTTTGTGAATTCTATGGACAAAATGTGTGACTGATGAAGAACGTTTAAATTATTGGTTATTTGGCGAGATCGAGATACGCGTTTCATTAAATTTAATATATATTTAAAGACGTATATAGTTTTCCTTTTTCTATCGATTACGTGTTGGCAACGCTTATACAAACGCGCGTACGCAAAATTCATATACACGTAATTCTAAAAAAAGAAGAAGCACGCGCGACACTTCTTTGTATCTAAAAAAGGCAAGTTTGTCAATTTCAATGGGGAATTATTCTCTTCTTTTAAAAAGAAACTTTTTCACTTTTCGTCATTATCCTTGAGAGCTTTTGTGTCTTAGCAATTAAGCCTGCATTTGCTTTTCGGCGCTTTCACCAACGTATGACCTTATAATTATTTAACCTTTTTATCGAGTCCAAACCCCTTACCCCATCTCAGGGTTAATTTACAATCTGCGTTTGCATTGCCATTTTATATTCTAAATCGCTCAAGTCATGCGTGCTTCGGATGTCGCATACGCGTGAAAAATGAAACCGCGAACAAAGGATTTTCGAATTTAACGCGTCATACGAGTATTAATAAATTGGATATATAATTAAAAATTAAAGAAATCCTATTTGTCCATTTAAATAATTGTTCGCAAGTCCGACAAAGAGGTGACTCAGTCGAAGCTTATTAAATTGGAATATAGTTGATTATCCAAAAAAGTTTCCTAAATTTAAAGGAAAAATACGTCGTCGTTACGTTTTTGAGGTTAAATTGTCTCTTTTTTTTTACTCAGTCACATTGTATCTCTCACTCACTCTCACGTTGTTTCTCGTTACTTTAGGTCAAATACGGCAAGCGAATGACATTTCCTTATTCTCGATATGAAATTTTTCTTACGCAATACATGTAAATTATATGCGCGTACGCCTTTGTGTTATTTTTTGTCTCTCTAAAATTCAATAAGCATTCGCTGAGTTTATGCGCTTTTTAATATCCTCTGAAATCTCTCTCGGCTTTTATACGGTTTTAACTCGTGAGAAATCGGCTCGACGGTACTAATTCTCTCTAAAAAAAAAAAAAAAAAAAAAAAAAAAAAAAAAAAAA